TCACCTTCCCCGCCTCAGGCCTTCCTTCCTTCCCACCCCCTCCTTCCTTCCTGAGAGTGCATTTCCACCACATTTCTGCTCCCTTGTACCAGTAGGTCCAGGAGAAGAGAGTATTAGATAATGTGGTAATTGTGGTTAAAAATAAAAATTAAGGGACGGATATTAAAGGAAGTATAGCTATTATAACCCTGAGCCCCTGGTTGATATCGAACTTACAGCCTTGTGGTTTGTGAGTGAGTGGCTGTGCCATCAGGGCTCTTCAAGGTAAGAGGTGATATGATAGCCCTGTTTAAGTATTTGAAGGGATGTCCTATTGAGAATGGAGCTTTTCTGCTGCTCCAGAGAATAGGACACGAAACAGTGTATACAAAGTATAGGAAAAGAGATTCTACTTAAACATTAGGAGGAACTTCCTGACAGTGAGAGCTCTTTGACAGTGGAACACACTCCCTTGAAGAGGGATAGAGTCTCCTCCTTCGGAGGTTATTAAACAGGCCATCTGTCGGGGATGCTTTGATTGTGAGTTCCTGCATGGCAGGGGTTGGACTGGATGGCCGTTGTGGTCTCTTCCAACTTTGTGATTCAATAATTCTAATGTGATTTAAGTAATAAATAAATAAATAAAAGAAATAAATGAAAATTAAAGGAAATCACTCTTTTTGGGAATAGTGAGGGGGAGGGGAGCCAAGGGCAGAGGAGACACTGACACCATATGACTGCCAATATTGGAACTGCAACATTTCACAGCTGAGGGCTGAGTGTGATTGGGAGCTTATTGACAGGTTCAGGACAACAAGTACAAACAAACACCAAACAAGTGAAATGAACACAGGTGGTCCATTTCAGGGCATTCAAATAAACTGCATCCACATTCTCGTGTTTCCGCAATGATGCTCCTTGGGCTTTGTAAAAGATTATGTTGCCAACCTATTCCTGACTGACGGAGTAAATGTCCACCAGAAGAGCTTAGTGTATGGGGCAGATTATATGGGAGGTGATCGTGTAAGTAGCCTGGACCCAAACCTTGTAGGACTTTAAAGGTAATAACTATTACTTTGTACTTCACTCAGAAATTAGTTGGCACCAGTGGAGTGATTTTAAGATCAGTGTAATATGGTCAGTGTAATCTGGATGTCCCAGTAATCAAGCTAGATGCCATGATTGAATCTAGCTGCAGTTTCTAAATTTGGTACTGAGGTACCCCAATCTACAGTGCATTGCAAAACTCCACCCTTGAGGTTACCAGTGCATGCTGTGGATGGAGTTGGGGACACAGGTGGTTCATTTCAGGACATGCTAACAAATTGTGTCCACATTCTTGCTTTTCTGCAGTGAGGCTCCTTCCTGGGCTTTGTAAAGGATTATGTTGGTAAAAGCTGGTGTTATCTGCTTGGGATTTGTTTATTATGTTTCAAAAATAAGAATGGCGCTATCTTTCAATATATGGGTTTGAGCAGTAGTTAGCATTCCTTATACGTAGGAGATTTATATTGTCATTAGTAGGAAGTTTTAACTATATTTTCAACTGTATAGCCAAAAACTTTGGGGAAAGACATCATTCTTATCTCTATTTCTTTTTCTTTTTCTTTTTTTCTTTCTAGAATTACTATTTCTTCTTGTATGTAATTGTTGTTGTATGCCTTCAAGTTGTTTCTGATTTAGGGTGACCCTAATGGTCATGAGTTTTTCTTGGCAAGTTTCTTCATTCAGTAGGAAGTTCAGCTGTATTTTTAAGTACAACCAAATGCTCTGGGAAAATTGTTGTTGTTAGCTGATCTTGAGTCGACTTTGACTCACAGTGACCCTGTGGATGACACATCTCCATGACCCCATGTCCTCATTCTCTTTGCTGAGGTCCTGCAGGTTTGTGTATTCCATGATTGAGTCTATCCATCTGGCATGCTGTCTTCCTCTCTTTTGACTGCCTTCCACCTTTCCTAGCATCATTTGACTGCCTTCCACCTTTCCTAGCATCATTGTATTTTCTAATTGTTCATTTTTTCTCATGATGTGGACAGCCTCAATCACCTTGGCTTCCAGGGAAAGTTCAAGCTTGATCTGTTTTAGAACCCATTTGTTTGTCTTCTTGACAGTCCACAGTACTTTTCTCCAGTGTGTATGTGTGTGTGCCTTCATGTTGTTTCCAACTTAAGGCAACCCTAAGGTGTATCGTGGTGTTTTATTGGCAATATTTGTTCAAAGGTGGTTTACCATTGCGTTCCCCTGAGGCTGAGAGAATGTGAGTTGCCTAAGGTCACCCAGTGGGTTTTATGGCTGAGATGGGAATTGAATCCTGGTGTCCAGAATCATAGTCCAACATTTAAATCACTATGCACCACATCTCAAATGAGCTGATTTTGTTTTTCCCCCCCATTGTCCAGCTCTCATACCTGTACACGATGATGGGAAATACAATGGCTTGAATTATCCTCACATTAGTGTTCAGAGTTATGTCTTTGAATTTTTTGATCTTGTCCAGTTCCTTCATAGCTGCCCATTACTAGTCTTCTTCTGATTTCTTGACTGCAACCTCTGAACAATTCTTGCCAAGAAAACCCCTTGATAGTTTCACCTTAAGATCACCATAAGTTGGAAATGACCTGAAGGCACATGATCACAACATATCCTCTCAGATGACAGGTTTTTGTGATGGGTCTGTTACAAAATAAGTTGTGAACTGTGTAAGAAGATAGATCAGATTATTAAATCAAGGCAGCACCCATTTTGTTTTTTATCCCCCACTCTTTGTTGCATTAATAATATACTTCTTTGTTAGGATATATGTATTTGTAGAAGTGAACTGTGGGCAAAAACTCATTTAGAAAGGACTTAAAATTATACTACTAGTAGTAATAAAGCAGAAATCTCCACACCTTTCCACTTGTGTTTACTGATTCTTAGCAAACCTCTTAAAAGTTACTGCCTTGATAACAGTGGGCTGCGTTGTACCATGTATGATAACAAAGAGAGAAGCCTGATGTTAGTTAGAGCAAGCACAAGTGCTCAGTTAAATAAAATTTGCTAATAGTAACTAAGAATTTAAGGTATCTCTATGATGATGCAGAGCTGGTGTCTAGGAACTAAAAATATGCTTTGAAAATGAACCTATTGATCCTGCATGTCAACAGTTTAAAATTTGCCCTGGAGACTCCACAGTATTAAGTGTGGGCTATGACATTTACATGCTGAAGGTATCAATAAACTACTTCTCAGGAGCTGTACATCTGCAGATGGAAAGACAATTAAAATGGAAAGAAGATTTAAATATTATAGACCCTCCATCTTAGGGAAAAAAGACATAGTTGATTCTTAAGAATTCCCTCTTTTGGGTCTAAGGCTGTAATCCTTTGCACACTTAACATGGAATAAGTCCCTCTGAATTCAGTGGGATGTATTTCTGCTTAGGCTAGTGTAGGATTGTACTCCATGTGATATGACAAATCTTCTAAAGTAATGATTTTGAAAGCTAAAAAGTTTCATCATGCTCAATACATCATTTGCTTTTGTGAGCAGTACAGTTAATTTTTCCATATCGTAGACTTCTGTTGTGGTTTACTCTACATAAGGTAGAGATGTAGTACAAATTTGCATTTTACTTTAGTATTTTAAATACACATTTGTATTCTGCCAGCATTAAAGGAAAGAAATGCCTAGTGTAATGCTGGGTTTACTGAAGAATAAGGTACATCTTTTTACAAGTTGTTTCCTCCTTGGACAAGAAATTTGAAGAGGAAAATGTTGCTTGATAGTAGGGTGACGCCACTTTCTCTCATTAAAGGTTAAGGGAAATTACCAAAGAAGGCTTTATCTTTGTGTAGATTTTATGTAATAGATTTATCTGTAAATTCTAATTCGCACCATGGATTTGAAACTACCAATTGTGTGAAGTTTTCTCCATTGCTGAAAATCTACAACACCTATTGTTCAATCATTGTCTAAGAAAGTACTGCTCAAACTAATGGTCCCTGGCCCAATGCTGGTCCCTGAGCCATTGACTGGTAACCCCTGTCTATTTTCCAGGAAAGAAAGAAGCAATTGTACTCAGTGGGCACACATTTAGTGCCTATCCCTAGCACACTGGAAAACAATACTTGCCAGTCCCCCCAATCGGATAGCTAGAGAAGCACTACTTTAAGATATGTTAGTATTGTCCAATATATTAGATTGAAGGGGCAGAAACAAAGTGGGTCTGGGCTGCCTAAGGCCATCTAATGTTAATAATAGAGCTAAGATTAGAAGCAGAGATTTTCTGAAACATAAATCAGTCTTGTAGCTAGTCCATTGCAATAGCTGTCATTGGTGACTATGTCTGAGTTAAGATTGCTTCCTTCTGCACGTCTTGTTTAAATATTTGAAGGAGTGTCATATTGAGACTGGAGCAAGCTTGTTTTCTGCTGCTCCAGAGAATAGGACCCGGAGCAATGGATTCAAACTACTGAAAAAGAGATTCTACCTTAACATTCTGAAGAACTTCTTGACAGTAAGAGCTGTTCAACTGTGGAACACACTCCCTCACAGTATGGTGGAGTCTCCTTTTTTGGAGGTTTTTAAACAGAGGCTGAGTAGCCATCCATTGAGGGTGCTTTGATTCTGTGTTCCTGCATGGCAGTGGGTTGGACTGGATCAGGGGTAGGCAACCTAAGGCCCGGGGGCCGGATGCGGCCCAGCAAGGCCTTTGGACCGGCCCCAAACCGGTCCTGCCGCCGCCGCCCCCCACCGCCACCGCCCCCCCCATGATGATATTGATTATTGTTGTTATTACTTGTTCTTGGGGTTTTCTTGGCAAAATCTTCACAGGGGTTTTGCCATGGCTTTTCTGGGGCTGAGAGAGTGTGCATGCATTTTTTAAAAAAATTTAATTCTTTTTTAATTTTAATTGTAATTTATTTATTTGTTTATTTATTTATTTATTTTTGGTGCTTCGGCCCATCAATTGTCTGAGGGACAGCAACCCGGCCCCCGGCTCAAAAAGGTTGCCTACCCCTGGTCTAAGCTATGAATGACCAAGTAGAGATTTGAACCCTGGTCTCCTGAGTTGTAATCCAGTGCTCAAACCACTACAACACACTGGCTTAGCTACTCTAAATGAATTGGGGCCAGATGAACGACATCCAAGGGTATTAAAAGAACTAGCCGAAGTAATCTCAGAACGCCTGGCATTAATCTTTGAGAATTCCTGGAGAACAGGGAAAGTCTCACCTGACTAAAGAAGGGAAAATGTTGTCCCAGTCTTCAAAAAAGGGAAAAAATAGAACCCGAACAACTGCTGCCCAATCAGCCCGGCATCAATACCTGGAAATATTCTAGAGCAGATCACTGAATAGCATAAGTACTTAGAACAGAATGCCATGATCACTAAATGTCAACACGGGTTTATCAAAAACAAGTCATGCCCATCTAATCTTATCACTTTTTAAAATAGAGTTACAAGCTTGGAGATAAAGGAAATACTGTGGATGTAATGTATCTTGATTTCAATAAGGCCTTCAGCAAGTACTCAATGATAATCTTGCAAAAAAAAAAAAAGCTATTAAAATGTGGGCATGATAATGTGAATGTTAGGTGGATTTGTAATAGGTTGACCGACCAAACTCAAATGGTACTCATCAATAGTTTCCTTTCAATCAAGAGAGAAGTGACTAATGGGGTGCCACATGGTTCTGTCTTGGGCCCAGTACTATTCAACATCTTTATCAATGATTTACATGATGGAATAGAGGGTATGCCCATCAAATTTGCAGATGACACCAAATTCAGAGAGGTAGCCAATTCCCCAGACAGCAAGATCAGAATTCAAAATTACCTAACAGTTTTGGGAGTGCTTTGATTGTATACTCCTGCATGGCAAAGCATTAGACTGGTGCTCTCTTCCAACTCTGTGATTCTAGATCTACACAGTGAGGGGAAAGGAAAGGAGAATGAAAGCAGTGAAAAACAAGATCATAGAATCATAGCTGGAAGAGAGCACAAGGATCATCCAGTCCAGGGGTAGGCAACCTTTTTGAGCTGGGGGCCGGGTTGCTGTCCCTCAGACAATTGATGGGCCGAAGCACCAAAAATAAATAAATAAATAAATTAAAATTAAAATTAAAATTAAAAAAAGAATTAAAAATTTAAAAAAATGCATGCACACTCTCTCATCCCCAGAAAAGCCATGGCAAAACCCCTGTGAAGATTTTGCCAAGAAAACCCCAAGAACAAGTAATAACAACAATAATCAATATCATCATGGGGGGGCGGCGGCGGCAGGACCGGTTTGGGGCCGGTCCAAAGGCCTTGCTGGGCCACATCCGGCCCCTGGGCCTTAGGTTGCCTACCCCTGACTTACATGGTACATGCCTTCACTGTGAATAGCACATATGCAATGGTGTGTGTTCTTTCTCTGTATCATTTTCTGTGTATAAAATTAGACTGGCTTCAAGGAGGTTTTGGACTTCATTTCTTATGTTTTGGGTTATTTTTGTTCTATATGTAATTATTTTCATTTTTTATTCAGTAATACAACTGGAGTGTTTGAGGAACATCTTAGTGATGTGCCTTTCAGTAGAGTTGTAAGATTTACTAAGACAATGTGTGAGAAAAGCTTTGAATGCTCAAACATACTATATAAATACCAGACACTATTCTTTGTTATTTTCTAGACCTCCCATTCTCATTCACCTATATCCAGTAATATGTGGCTGTAGGGTCATATTTTGTCTAGGTGTCATTTAATAACTCACATGATCAGAATAAGCTCTTGCTAAATATACAACCATTCAGGATGATTTCTTGGTACAGATACAGCTGAATACCTAATGTTAGCAGCAAAATCCTAGATTAACTTTTATTTTATGAGAGAGATACACGAAGTAGAGAGAGCCCATTGCTAGCTATAGATGCTTTGATAAATGTTTATAGTGTTTTGGGGAGAATTTGAGTATTATTGAGATAAATGATTTGTGTCATCTTTTCTTTCAGAAGACTCACCATTGCTGATCAGCCTGTCTCAGGGTAGCAATTGAAGAGATGAGGTAGCTGTTCTCAAGTGTATTAGAATCCAGCTACAAATGGATGCAAAATATAAAGACGATGTGTTTAGAAAGTACATACAATTTCATGAATCGAAATTGAATACCTCTGACAAGAAACAGCGCCCAGTTAGTGATGAATATCTACAAGTGGCAGCTTCAGCCTTACTGTGCTTTCCCAAGATTGATCCCTTTTATAGATTCCGGCTGATTAAATTTTATGAGATTGCTGAAAATTCACTTAGGTCCCCAAAATCTTCAAGTCTGCGTTCTCTGCAGAGTGCTTTCAATGTGCTGGAATCAGTTGGAGTTAATCTTTTTCTTTACCCGTGGAAGAAGGAATTTAAAAATATCAAGGTAAGATTGTGCAAAAATGTCAGCCTTTTTGTAATCTGTTTATGCTTTTGTTTCTTAGGCTGTGTGTATTATCTGTAGGATAATATCTGTGGGTTGGAGAGGGCTGGTGTAGACTGCAGTGAGTCTAATTGATTCTAGAGTCTATAAAGTATTTGAAATGCAAACCAACTCTGCACATTTCTGCACCAACATAAAATTAGTCCAATGAAAGAAAGAATACCTCAAAAGCATGTTTCAAACATTTATACTAGTGAAAGTCTATGAAAAACACTTTAAAAGGCTCAGTGTCCTTGAAGAACTACAACTGGTTCCTCAATTAGATGGCTGTTTGTCTCCTATGCTAGCATTTCACTGGTAGAGGTTCTTGTATAGTAAGATTCCTTAAACCTCTGTTTAAGAAGCATTTTCGTACTTATTTTCATCCTGATCTAAAATGGGTTGTTCAGAACAATGTCTTATCCTCACAGGAACCCTGTATGTGTGATTAAGAAGTGAGGGAAAGTCACACAAGGTCATCATAGCCACATTACAAATGTTCTTAAATTTTAGCCATTGTAACCCTAATTTCCATGTTCAGCCTTGTCAACTCCTCTTCTGGATTTTGATTAATAGTTTCTTCACATTTGCCTAAAGTGAACTCACTGTTCCATACAAAGAATTTAAGTGTCTTTCTTCAATGCACTATTCTGTCTTTTCTCACTTCTCCAGTACTATTCGTGGCTTAAAGATGAAAATAAAAGTCCATAATCATAACATTCAGAGTGAGAATAAATAAGATCAAAGGGTAATGTTCAGTGTTAGTCTCTTATTTCTCCAGAAGAACTAATTTATAAAATATTTGTTAGTAGAAATGTAATACTATTTCAAAACTGCACAAGCAGTCAGATATCATCTGCTTTCCTAACTTTTCCTGATAAATGCAGACACTTGCATGAAAATACTAATGACAGAAGGAAATCACTGAAGACACATGATATTAAGATATACTATTAAGTACCAGCAGTAATTCTGTCAGTAAACTTGTATGTTGCAAATGCAGATGTAAATACTGGGGGTGGGAGAAAGAAAAGGATGACATTTGGACAGTTACTGAAAAAGCTGTGATGCCTTTGATATTTAATGGCAGGTACTAGAACAAAATGTCTTTCTGGACTAAATTCTAGGTATCCTGCAGTAAAAGTTTGTGGATGAATGGTATAGGTTCCAATTAGATGAGAGACTAAGAGCACGGCTGCTGTATAGCGTTTATAGAGGTGGAAGAAATCCTGTGCACCTGATCTTTGCATTCCTACAATCTTGATTCTAATGTTCAAGAATATGAATCATGAACAGTGCCGTGACTTCTGACATCTGGCTACTGCTTCCCCAAATCTAAGCTGATATTTACACACACAGTCCAAGATTCTGACTAGCAAATATATCATAGGCTAATATGCTAGCAATCGTGTACATTGACAATAGACAGTAATACAGTTTTAAGTATGATTCTTTACAATTCTATGGCTTTAGCAAGACATTTTGTAATCACTTCATTCCTCAATGCCTCAGTTCTCCAGTGCAATGCTTCCACACCTATTTAGGATGTGCTGAAGCTTGCTGAAGTAGAAACCAAATCAAGGAAAACTTGGTGATACAGTCCACTATGTTGATGTAATGAACATCAACTTGGCTTTATACGTACAAGTGATCTATCTATAGAATTCCTTTCATTTTGGGCCAAAAAGTATTTTTAATTCAAAATGATTGTTCCCTCTTGTGGTTATACCACATAAGTTGTTTCAGAATTATATTTGAATGATGTTTGCATTATTATTTCTTTCTTTTCTCTGTCTTCAGACCTACACAGGACCTTTTGTTTATTATGTGAAATCTACATTATCTGATGAGGATATAAGACATATACTGAACTCAATGGGATATGTCCAGGAACTTGGAACTGTGTATAAACTTAAAGAGTTGGTGGATACCCTTCAGGTCAAGATGGTGTCATTTGAACTTTACTTGGCCAAAATAGAGTGTGAACAATTGATTGAAATTCACTTGCAAGTGAAAGATAAAGGTTATTCAGAACTTGACATTGTAAAGGAGAGAAAAAATAGCAATGATGATGTCCGAGGCTGCTCAGATGCTTTGAAACGCCGTGCAGAATGCAAAGAGAATCTAAATACTTCCATGTCACGAATGGTACTTCAAAAATCTGCTAGTGAAAGAGGCTCTAAAGATTACTTCAAACCCAAAGTTAGCAAGCCTTCTAAATCAGTGGATGCATATGATAGTTATTTGGAAAGCAAGAAGCCACCTTTAATGACATCACTGAGTCTCAGAAAAGAACCCATTTTAGTTGATACTGAAGATGATATTAAAGATGAAATAATTCGTCCATCACCATCTCTCCTTGCCATGTCAAGCTCTCCACATGGATGTTCTGATGAATATTTGCCAGTTCCATCACACTCCAATGGTGTATTAAGAACGGGTATTCCATATGGCACTTACTATTCCCCCCAAGATGATTTAGATTTATATACTGACCCTGATTCCAGAAGTATGTTTAAGAGGCAGGAATCCACTAAACATGATGTATGGCTGCTAAGAAATGACGCCAATCCAGTTTACCATAAACGTACACATCTAGCCAAAGAGATGGCTTCCCTTAAGTGCCAAAACTGTGGATTATCTTGTGGCACCTCCATTTGCCAAAAATG